ATACAGTGTATTTTTTTCATACTCAAACCCTGTCCCCAACTCTCAGCAGATCCACTCTCAAAGCCCTACAACTTGATGTTTTTTAAAGAGACTTTAAAGTGACTTTGGCCAAATGTGGTGATATAAGCCTTCAATACCAGCGCTCTGTAGGCCGAGACAGATGGATCTCTGAGAGATCAAGGCCAGCGTGATCTACATAGTGGGGAGTTCCAGACCAGTTGGGACTATATGGACACCCTGTTTCAAAAAGACAATAATACTAATACTAATAATATTTTAAAAGTGACAGTATTTAAAATGTTTGAATTTTTTAAAAAAAAAAAAACTATGGGAGTTTTAAAGCTATACTATCTTGTTAATATTAACAAGAGATCTTTGGGAAAAGAAGTGGAAAGGTTATTAGTGATGTGTTTATGTGTCAAGTGGAGAAGGGATCAAATGTGCTGGATAGCTTCAGTTGACAATTTGGTACACCTTGGAAGAGGGACCCATAACTTGGGTGTTTCCTCTATCTGATTGGCATGTGGCCATGTGTCGGAGGCCTTTTTTTTTTTATTGTTGTGTGAAATGAGGCCACCCAACCAATGTGAGCGGTCCATCCCTGTGCAGGTATGTGGTCCTGGGTTTTAAAAAATCAGTTTGAGCACCGGCCAGAGGAGCAAGCCAGTAAACAATTTTCCTCCATGGTCTGTGCTTCATTTCCTGCCTCCAAGTTCCTACCTTGATCTTCCTTCAGTGATGAAGTATAACTTATAAGCTGAATAACCACCCCCTCCAACTTGGATTTTTATCAGAGTGTTTTATCACAGCAACAGAAACCAGGCTACAACATATCCTTTTACCCAAAAGTTGTTCCTATAAAGAAAAAATTAATGTGCTTTTCTGTGGTTGTGGTAAAATTGTTTTTAAGATTTATTTATTTACTGTGGAAATAGGTGATTGTGCATGTGCCACACCATGCTTGTGGAGGTCAGAGAACATCTTTCAGGAGTCAGTTCTCTCTTTCCACCATGTGGGGTCTATTGTTTTACTTCAGGTCATCAGGTTTGACAGCAACCACCTTTGCTAGCTAAACTATCTCTTCAGGCCTGTTCTTTTTGTGACAGGGAGGGTTTTTTGTCTGTAGCCCAGACCAGCCTTAGCCTATCAAAGATTTCCTGCTTCTGTCTACTGAGTACTGGGGCTACAATCCTGAGCCATCATGCCATGCTTCTCTGTGTGTAGTGTTACCATCACTGCCTGTTTCCATGGGTTCTTTGGATCTAACCCAGGTGCTTAAACTTGCACAGCAAGCACTTTACTGGGCAATCTCATTAGCCCTTGAAGTCATATTTCAAGGCCAATTTCCTGATTGTATAAAGGCTAGGTACCTGGCCAGTGTGTTTATAACCTTGGGATGTGGAAAACTGATTCATTAAATGGCTTTCCAGACTAAGGAGGACCATAAATGTAGAGATGTCATTCATTCCTAGGTAGGTAGGTAGATAGAAGATGATAGATAGATAGATAGATAGATAGATAGATAGAAGATAGATAGATAGATAGATAGATAGATAGATAGATAGAGAGATAGAGAGATAAATAGAGATAGAGACATAGATGGATGGATGACTGGAGGATCTAGCTCAGTGGTAGAGTGCTTGACCATTGTGTGTAAAGCCTTGAACTCAATCCCAGTTCAGAAAATAAAAGAAAAATCCTTTGGTTCTAATCTCATGAAAGAGTATCATTGAAAAGTCATCAGACAAGTAATCAAGTTTTGAGTAGCACAGGAAGTTCCTCATGTCCCAGATTTAGTTTGGGGGCTGGCAGCCTCAGTGGGTTTTTTTTTTTTTGGTCTTTTTTGAGACAAGGTCTCCCTGTAGCCCCAGCTGTCCGGGAACTCACTGTGTAGATCAGGCTGGCCTTGAACTCACAGAGATCCACCTGCCTCTGCCTTCTGAGTGCTGGGATTAAAGACGTGCACCACCACACAAAGCTTTTATTTTATTTTATTTTTTTATTTTATTTTATTTTCAGTCAGACAAAAAATCATTGACTATGGAACCTCCTCTTTCTATCCACCCTGTGGTACTCCAGATGAGTAGCTTCTCTTCAGACATTGTTCCTTCATTTTTTTTATCAGATTTGATGGGTCACACCAGCCTCCCATTATCCCTGATTGCGTGCCCATCTACCTAACCAGACCCCAGGTACCACTCCCATTTTCTGTTCCTATCACTGGGCTCAGATACCAGTGAAACTGATGTCCCTATCGCCATCTGAGGCTCTAGATTAAATGGTGTTAGGCACCACTCTGATGGTGCTGCCCGATAAACCTCTCTCTCATTCCTCACAGTGATTTTTGCCAACCGACTCCCAATCTTTTCAAGTCCTCTGCTTCTCACCCTCCATTTCAGCATACAATCTTTCTTTTATGCACCAGAGAAAATAGCATCAGCCATTGACTTCCTTAAACCACAAAATGATCTATGCCTGCATGCTTTTTTTCTTCTTGTCTACAGTGGTAAGCCAGGCTCAGAGATAAGCATCTTGTGTGGTGCTCCATAATCCTCTCTCACTGCATGATGACCTGTATCATTCATCCCTTCCCCTTCCTCATTGGCAAGTTTTCTAAGAATGGAGCATCTACAGACAAATGTGTTCTCTGGGGATCTCAACATGCTTGCCCAAGTATCATCCATCACTCTGACTCCAATTTTACCACATTCATTGCTGAGAAGTATTCACAGAATTCTCTGCATGGACCATCAAAACTGAATATAAAAAGTCTACTCCTTAGCCTGCAAATACCTGCTTTCAAAAATCACCACACATCAGGATGATATAGCCACACAGTTATTCAACAATAATGCTATGAATGTCCTTCAGGCCCAATCCTATTTAATCTCTACAACTGTACTGCAATTCCAAAAACTGTGTTTCAGGTCTCTTTTTTCAATGTAATTTATCGCTGTTCTTTATTGATGCATATTAACTTCACATAGCAAGTAAATTAGATGTAAAATTGGCATGTTTGCATATCACTGTGATTTGAGTGTGACGTGTTCCCCGTGGACTCATGTGTTTGAAAATGTAGTCCCCAACATGCCATTCTGATTTGGAAGGTTGTAGAATCATTAGGAGGTAGAGACTTGCTGGAGGAAATGAGTCACTGTCGGTGACCTTTGGAGCTTTATACCCAGTTCCACTTCCTGTTTACTTCCTGCTTCCTGAATGTGCACAAAGTGTGACTAGCAAACAGAAATCTTGTGCTACCATGCCTTTGGCACCAGGACAGATTATTCCCTCAGGAACCATATTCCAAAGAAAATCTCTCTCTCCACAAGTTGCTTTCGTCAATTATTTTGTCTCAGCCCCATGCAGTGTAACTAAATCACATACTGTGTGCACAGATCACATCCGACCACTATTTGTCCAGCCTTGTTCATTCCCACCACCACCTCCCAGTCGTTTGTAATCACTCTTCAGCCTACAAGATATCTCATGGAAGAGAGATCACATGATATTTCTTGTTGCACATCTGCCTATTTCACTTAATGTCCTCTGTTGCATTCATATTGCTGCAGATTACAAGGGTTTATTCTTTATGAGAAACTAATAGCACATTGATTATATGTAGCATGCTTTCTTTTGTTTTAAATGTAGTAAATCTATTTACTAAGTCACAAAGTGAAATTTGTTTACAGGAAAATGATTGAACTTGGAGATCATCAGTGCAATAAGCTAGGCCCAGGAAGAAACCATTACAGTTTTTCTCTCAATTGTGTACTTTGGGAAAAACAGAAGAGCACAAATGTCAGAGGGATATTTCTAAGGATGAAGATGAGAACAGAGAGGAAGATGAAGCATGCTTTCTTTAGTTCAGCCTTCCACCAGTAGACACCTTGATGATTGTCCATTGTGAATTGGGAATATTGCAACAATAAACTGGAAAACAAAAGCAGTCTTATTCCTTTTCTGCAGATATCCCGGAATGGTAGACCTGGATCTTAGAGTGATTCTACTCTGAGGAAATTGAGGCACCTCTATATCCATATCCATAGTAGTTGGAGTGATTTACATTCTAACAAGAATATAAAGTTTCCCCTTTGCACATATTCCCCAGCATTTCCTGCCACTTGCACACAGTCATTCTAAGATTCTCAATGTGAGGAGTTATTTCATTGTGTTTTGATTTGCAGATCCCTGACAAATCATCATCTATAGTCTAGATTCCATAGCATTTAAAATGTTTTCCATTGCTACTTTTGAGATGCGTCTATTTGGAGCATTTGCTTAATTCTACGATTAGATTACTACAATTTTTAGGGTTTATAAAAACCTATTCTGTATATTAATCTTCATTTTTCTTTGGAAAAGGAGTTGCCTTTACTTTTCTGGCAAATTTCACACCAACCTCAGTTGCTCAAACGATACAGCCTTTCAGAAGTTCTGTATTTATGTAAGCTGTGGCTACAGAGGCAATTTGGAATTTTCAGCAATATGGAAGGTTGTGAGTGCATTCAATGGTGTTTGTGCCCAATACTACCCATTATGAATTTGAAAAATGCTCGCATAGCCTAGGATTGATTCAGTCATGGTTGTGATTTTAGCACCAATTATATCACCGTATTGTGAAATAGGATTTTCCATTAAACCTTTATGTTTGGGCATAAAAGAAGCTTGAAGCAACTAGAGGGATTATTCCAGTTCAAAGCTTGAAGGTTCTGCATCTCAAAGATGGCTGATAGTGGATCTGTGAGGGATGACAAGGTGGTCAGGCCTCGGTTACATAACTCCTTCCAAATCACGACTCTCAAACTGCATCTTTATTCGGTGCTAAGAATGACAGAATGTGTGTGTGCATCCCATTATTGAGGAGGTCTCTACGTGTCAGACAGGAGACCCCCTAGCTAAGAAAGGAAACTGTCAGAGTGCTGTGGCTCATGCTACTTTCAATCCCAGGACTTGGGAAATGGAGGCGAGATGACCCCCAAGTGAAAGTCATTCTTAACTACAAAGAGAATTCAAGGGCAGCCTGGGATGTATGAGACCCTATTTCAAAAAAATCAAAAAAAAAGTAATTGAAACAAAGAACAAGTGCAGCAAAGCAAAACAATAATAAAAGAAGGAAGGAAAAAAGAAAGAAAATCCAGCTGTGAGAGAGCAGAGCCTTTCCGTTCCACACTTTGCTCCATTTTCAGTGTGGTGAACTAAAAACCCAGCACCAAGAGGGTTTTCCACTACAATCTTCACACTTTTCTCTTACAGTCTCTGGTACTCATTTTAAAGACTTCAAAATGTGATTCTAAAAATAAAGATGTGGGGAGATTCAGTCACTACTACTCTTTTATTTAAAGCTTTGGACAATTACTGAGGGAAAAAAAAAGCCCTAAGTGATGAAAAATAGAGATTAGAAAAATAGAATAAGAAAGTCATTATGTATAATCCATCACTTTGTACAGAGTGGTTTCTGATTCTGAATTTTCATAATGACTTACAGAATGGTTAGGATTCTCACCAAACATTATGATCCCGTAAAATTGTTCCCATTAGGACATGTTCATAAGTGACTCAAAGATTCAATGGATATTCAAACATACCTTTCTAAAGTGATTATTATATTATTTCAAGAAAAAGGAAAGATTATCACTGCCTAATTAACCCCAGTCAATGACCAGCATGCTTGTTAGCAATTCATCAATTCTCAGAAATGTTACATGAAGTTAATTGGGCAACAGCAAAAGGATGTGTACCAGTATGGGAAAGAGTATTTGAATATTAAGAAGGTGGTTCATGCATATGCACACATGTAGAAAGGATGTGATGTGTCCTAATACAATAACAACATACCTTCTGAGTTTCATGGAAACATATGCATAGCTCATTTCTGCACCTCATACATCATGATGACCTACTAAGTACAGATAATGTGTAGGTATTGATCACAGAGGATAATGTGTGACTTACTTTGGGTTCTGTTTCTGTGATAAAAATATCCTGAGCAAAAGTAACATGGGGGAATGGGGGTTATTTGTCTGTAATTTGAAATTATATTCCATAATCACAGGGAAGTTACAACCAGAGAGCTGGTCATACCTCATCGACAACCAAGCGCAGAGAGAAAATATGTGCATGAATCTTTGGTTTTTCTTACACTCATTTCTCAAATCTTGTGAAGTTCGGGCACCCCTGCCCAGGGAATGATGCCTTCCCCTGTGGGCGAGGTCTTCCTATATCAATTAAGAATCAAGACAATCCCCACCAATATGTCCATAATTCACCCTGATCCAGATAATTCCTTTAACAGCCTTCCCAGATGATACTAGATGGTTCAAGTTGGTAATTACAGATAACCAGCACAATGTGGTATCTCACTATGGCTGTGATCAGTTCACTTATTTACACATTCAGGCATTAAAAAAGGACGTATGAAATGCAAAAATTCAGGAAAAATGTACACTGAAAAAAGTATGACTCTACAATAGTATTCTGCTAAAGAATGATGAAGTTTAGTTTCTAGAATCTCAAAACAGATACAGAAACGTGATCATGTGAATGAAGGCAAAATGAGATAAATTGCTGGACACCGGTAAACAGATTTCTTTCTGGGGATCAACATCATCATGCATGATTCGCAGTGGGGTCAGAATTAGAGATGTCTTTAAGATGGTGGTTTTGAAGTTGACGTGCACTGTCCTTTGAATGTTGACTCTCTGATAAAGGGCCAAGTATTAAAAGCTTGGTGCCCTGTATGATGCAATTGGGAAGTGTTAGATTTTTGGAAAATTAAAGGAAAGATAGAAGAGTAGGAGACAGGAAATCAGAGCCAGACCTGCAACAGGCAAGGAATATATCTTCCTTTATTCAAAGAAGATACAGCGAGAGGTAGAGGCTGTCCACGGAAGCCAAGCATCTACAACTAGACAAGGAAATTTTTTTTAATACCAGGGTTGTGAGACACAGCTGCACTTTGTGAGGAGTTGAATCAGTGCCCGGGGTTGGTGTCCTTGAGGGTCTCTTTTCCCAGACAGTTGGGTGAGTTATCTTTGGCACTAATGGAGACAGGTGGGCTCCACAAACAGTCTCTCTCAGTCCTAGGAGTGACCAGTTGATAAGGCTTGAGCAATGCCAGGCTTGAGCAAGTCCAGGCTGCCAATTAAGGGCCAGTTAGACACTTTAAGGGATTATGGCTTTCCCTAATGAGGCTTGTGGCTCTTCTTCAATTCACACATTCTATCAGGGAGTGATGGAAATTCTAACAGGTAGGGCTTATTCAGGTGAAGTTATGTCATTGAGGGCATGACCATGTGTTGTGTGATGCCATTTCTGGGGGGATGTGAACAAACATCTACATCTAGTCATCCAACATAGGAAACAACAACAGATCAAAATAAGGACACCACCGAAGTCCAACTTAATGAAGCGATGAGTTTATTGGAGGACTTACAGGAATATAGTGACTGGTTACTTATTGGCACATGGATGACTCAAAGCCAGCTGCATCACTAAAAGCCTCCCACAAAAGCTAGAATCCCAGAGCTCTCTGCACAATTTTCGGGCATGTCAGAAACTCAAAGAGTCTCATAGAGGAAATTCAGTTGGTCTGAGTCTCTTCAGAAGTCCTTATTGATTATGTAAGTTTAGAGAGGGAGAGGCCTTTTTTATCTGGTTAGTTTCAGGGAGTTCTTAAGACCTATGACTTATTTTCTGTCTTAAGAATCATCCTTTTAAGAAACTTCCTCCAAGTTGTTAGTCATGGTAGTCCAAGAGACTCCCAAAATAACACAGACTATTGTCACAGCCCTTGATTACCTCCCAGAACTGGATGGTAAGACCCTATCGCTGAAGACATGACATACTTTGGACATGGGACTTTGAGCAGTCGAGCTGGAAATGATCTGGAAACCTTCCTGAAGACGAGTTCTCATAGTATCAGAAGATATTATTCAAACTACCAAGGGGAAAAAAGCCAATCAGTGATCCCACCCAACTGTAAAGTCTACACAACCACAATAATCACCAGCCCAGCAAGGTATCTCTCTTGATACAATTATTGAACTTTTATCTTGGAGGTAATCAACAGCTTTTAAAGTGGATTTAAGGTTAGCTCAATGGGACAGAATCCACATATGCTACTGTAAAAATATCCAAGTCTACAGGGCTGGAGATGTCATAGACCCTAGAGAAGAACCTATTTCTGTCACATCCCTCGACCAATATAAATTCTTTGTATACTCAATATACCTGTCCTTATATTTACATATTTACAGGCAAGTATACCTCTCACCATTAATCAAAGCAACTTCTTCTTTGTAACAGATGGAGACTACTACAAAATTATACAACTTGTCAAACATAGAGAATATGTTACTGGGAGGTACCCAGCTCTAAGTGATACAACTATGATGTAATCTGTACACCTAAACCACAGAAAACATAGAGGAACAGGGTGAAGGAAGGACATAAGAAGCAGAGAGACAAGATTCCTGCTGTTAGTTAATGCATTCTAGACATAATAGGGGAACTGCACCAAGTTAATCTCCACAGGGTAGTAGTCTAACGTGATCTTCATAATGTTAAAGCACGTTGTCACGTCAAGGTGTTCAGGGAAAAATCACAGGTTCCCACCTCAAGATGAAGAGGTACAGGCAAGCAATGAATGCTGCTGGGAGGGAGAATCAGTTTTCTCCAGGGACTAGCTCCATGAGAGGTTATCTAATCCCAAGTAGGCAGTCCTAAACACAGGCACACACAAGTACGATTCAATGGAATAGTGCCATATATATATATATATATTTGTACATTACTATAACTATGTATGTATATGTATGTAACTGATAACCAAAGAAGCTGACAAGAAATAGTTGGGGTACAGGAAAGGAGTTTGTGGGGGACCCAGACAGATGGAAATAATGCAAAGATGATACTCATCTATGAAATTCTCAAACAATAGAAAAAC